TGCTCCATCACCCCACACAGTTGGTCCGCGCAGGACCTGACGACCCTCGAGCTGATGCCATCTGGGCCCACTGCCTTCTTGCCATTAATCCTCCTCAGTTCCCTCCTAACCTGGGTGGTTGAGAGAGACAGGCTGGAGCCTTGTGTTGAATGTGTATTGGATGCTGTTGTTGGGGGTGGGGAGAAGTGAGCAGGGTGAGGAGAGGAGGTGTGAAGTGTCTGAGGTGTCAGAGGTGGAGCAGCAGCAGTGGGGGTGGGTGAGTCTGCAGCCGATGTTGGAGACTGCCTCATGGCTGAATCAAATCTGTTGAAGAAATGATTCAGTTCATTTGCCCACCTCACATCCCCCCCAGGCAGAGAGTTCTGATGTTTGTGGCCCGAGATGGTTCTGAGGCCTCTCCAGACTTCACCAACGTTGTTTTGATGAAGCTGGTTCTCCATCTTTTGCCTGTAGCTGTCCTTCCCATTCCTTATCAGTCCCCTCAACGATTGAGCATGCATCAAGATACAGTTTACATGCAGTATATAGGACTTGTCTGGGTCAGCAAAGGCCAGGACGTAGGCCACGTGTGATGTCCAAAAGGCTCTGATTTCTTAAAATAGACAGTCCTATGTGCTGGAGTTTGCTTTCCTCGGTGTGCTGGAAGACAGCATTTTGTCAGATCTGTCAAGACTCGCACAAAAACTGAGTAACTGATAATAAAGCACTGATAATTCAGAAGGAACAGCCATATACAGAAACCCAAGAAGGATGATAGGGTCTTAAGATCAGTAGGCTGGAGCCACTAAGTTCTTGCTTATATTTTTCTAGGCTGGTGGCAGACACAAAGCAAATGTGTTTGGATACAGTTTTACAAACTTGGAACTTGTCAGTGGACACCTTCAAATCTTATTCCTGAAAATCTGAATCAGAAAACTTTATTAATACTTATGGAAATTATGTGGTTACAGTTGCTTCAAGGCAATAACAGTAAGAGACTGAACAAATTTCAAAGTTAACAAAATATAAGAAATAGCTCTAATATATACAAATAACTCAATTATAAATATACAGAATATCACAGAAGTGAAATATTTATGATTGATATTTTACATTAACCTGTAAAGCTTTGCTATTTGTTATTTTACTGTGGAGGATGTGCAAAAGGGTGCAGCTATTACACTGTGTACTGTGCATTAGATAGAGGAGTTGTAGATGGATATGGCCACAGGCAGGAATGATTTCCTGTGTCGTTCAGTGGTGCATTTGTGTAATCTCAGTCTCTCACTAAACGTGTGTACTCCGAGGTATTTATAGTCCTCGACGATGTCCCCATCGACCCCCTGGATTGAAACAGGGGTCACAGGTTTCCTGGTCCTGAAGTCTACAGTCAATTCTTTGATCTTTATCACATTGAGCTGTAAGTGATTCTCCTCTCAACCACAGCCTGGTACACTGTCTCATCAAGCTCACTGATGCATCCAACCACTGAGTCTAAGGCATCATGGGTTCTTGTACTTATTTGGAATGGTCTGTAATCAATATACATCCTGATTATGCAATTTCTTCCCCTTGCTACAGCAATTGGGGATGCATATAGACTATGCGACTCCTTGATTACTCCAGCAAGTACTTTTTGTCGGTGGAACCACCTGTCGTCTATAACTGTTGGCACAAGGCATCTTGATCAGGATGAGCTCCATCATCTAACAATTCAACGTTGATTGCTACATTTGTCACACTTATATACATGTAAAAGCTCAAAGCTCATTATTTCCACACAAAACACAGATTGTAACTGATCTCAGAGCAGTGGAAGCCTACCCAGTGGCTTCTTGCCTCACAATCTGGTTCTCATCAGTTTACCATCAAAGGCCAAAGTGAAAAAATGAACATAAAAAAGCTGCTGGCCTCTCACAACCGTGACATTAAAATAAAACATCAGAATCTCTTCAACTTGGAAAAAAGGTGTTTCTTCAGCTGAGCTGTCCGTTTTCAGACCAGCAGGAGGCGTGGTCTGGAAACACAGGGCGTTGTGATTAGCTGGGAGACTATGGAAGCCCCGCCTTCATATGCGCTGTGTAAACAAACACACACTGGGCATGCGTCACTGTAATAATGGAGGACAGTCTTTTCTAGCCGGACTGATGTTGTCCGTATTGCAACTCTGTTACCTGTAATCGGAGAGCAAACAACTCCCCTTCATTTCAGCGTGTGTAAGTTAAAGTTTGTCACTTGTGAAGCGGCTCACTTTGAGGCGAGCAGAAATAACTGCTAAGTTTGCGCATGAGAAACTAACGGTGAGCAACAAGCCATGTTTGCTAGTTGGTTAGCAGCTGTCAGATCTCCGAGTCCGCAGCACACTTCTGCTATTAACTTCTACCAGTTTTGATGGTAGGATCTGCGCTGTCCGTAAATGTTGGCTACTTAGTGGTTACTTTTGAACATTATGGTGTTTTTGTTTTTTGTTGACGTAACTTTTAGTTCTTGGGTGGCAGAACAAGCTATGTTGCAGATAGCATTTTAGCTAGCGGACTAGCTAAATATTTTTCCGAGGAGATGCGCTGTAAGTGGGCTACCACGTGTGAGTGACGTTCTGCTGAGCCAATCACATGCCGAAGATAAGACTGAGTCGGGACTGTGTCCAATCATAGAGGATCTCCGAGTCTTCCAGTAAAGTCCGTTAAGACAGAGTGTAGTGTTGCTTTTAGCTAAAAGTTGAGTATGTGTGTAATCGGAAATCGATTTTTGTGATACACATTGATTAGTTAAACTAATTACTTCGGAAGTTTACGTTATTATTCTGTTAAAGAATAAACTAATCAAATATAGTTTATTGTGTGTTATTGCTAAAGGTGGAGGCTTGGTTAAAGTTTTTTTTTTTTTAAATTCACAAACCTGAAACGAGGCTGTAGATGGTGTTTGGGATCCGTGTGTTTATGTGCTGGTCCCAGTCTGGGTGGATGTTTTGCTGGGAGTGCTTTTGACTGAGGAGAGACGTTTTCAGTTTTCATAAAGTTAGGAAAATGTTCACAAGCAGACAAGAATGTAAAAGTTATTGCTGTGATGCTTGGTATAGTTCTTGGTGATATGTCCGAAACTGTGTTTGTTGATATAATTAATTATCACGAAGAGTCTGAAATAAGCATTTATTTCTAGTTTAAATGCTGCAAAGTGCTAATTGTTACTGGGTGTGGGCGTGGTGCCTTTGTTGAAACTTGTGCCCAGCACTGCTATGAGATTGTGGTTTATTACATCCTGTGTAGAGATTTTAATTTGAATTATCATTATGGCTTTTAACAGTTATGAAAACAAGCTAATCAGGATAAGATTACTCGTTTTTTTATATTCATTTGAAGATTTTGTTTTGTCTTTATAGTAAAATGAGACCAGAAACAGCCTCAGGTCAACGCAATATTTTCAGAAGTAAACGTTGCAGAAAGGATCTGTAGCATCATTAATGTTTGTGTGTGTTTATATTTGAAAGCATTTTGGTTGGTTGTTAGCTTCAGCTCTACATAGTTCTGTGTGTGGAGACCAAGCATCTCTCCTGAGGTGTGTGAGTCTGCTGCTGTCTGGGCCTCTTTTAGGCACCCAGAGATATCCCACTGTGGAAGCTGTGGGCCAGCAGGTATTGACAGTTGCTCTTGCAAAACGGCCTTTGTGGTCAAAACACCCACTAATCAGGCAACAATCAGTCCCTGTGAGCTTGACTTTTTTTTTAATGTATTTATATAGTTTTTTTTAAATGGACTTTTCTTTAAAGTTAAAGGGTATCATCTATAAACAAAGACAATTTTTTTAAAGGCCATAAAAACTGGATATTTGCCAAATTAATGACTTATCACTGTAAATAATAGACCAAAATCATTATGTTTTTTGCTGTAATTGAGCAGCCTTGTTCCTGTGTGCTGATTTCAGGTTTTAGGTTTTATCATAGATTACATTAGTCTTTGTAATGTAAAAGTGAAAATGGCTCCAAAGTGACACAGAGTGATTTTTTTAACTTGCTAAGTTGAAGTTGTTGTTTTTTTTCAAGTTTGTACTAAAAAAATGATGTTCTGGTTTTATCACCTGGCAGTGTGTTTGAGATGATCAGTTAAGTCTGTTAAATGGCACCGAGGGGTTCAGATGTGGTCACAGACTTAGAAGAGGAACGGTGAACCTGTGGGGATGGTGGATATCTGGTGAATGTCACTGATTGTGGTGTTTGTGATCACTGCGGCAGCTCAGTTAGAATATATGAGAGAGGAGGCTTCAATGGTTTCCTGTACTTAACTGACAGGCTGTACAGATTTTGTGTGTATATGAATGTAGAGCACATGATAAAAAATGCATAGTAACTAACGTTAATAAAGAGCAACATCAGCTAAAGGCAAGTCAGTTCTTCCCAGGATGCTCCCACAGATGCTCCATTGATGCTAAGCGTGCTGCATTGTCTGAATGTATGCTTAACTGTCAGGCAAACGGACATAATCGTGTTTATGTTTTCCAGAGTTGAGGTCACAATAACACTCCCAACATGACCACAGACACGCCAGCCCAAAGTGTGGGCTGCAGGGTAATGACATTCACCCCCTCCAAAGAGGAGTTCAAGGACTTTGGACGTTACATTGCCTTTATGGAGTCACAAGGAGCGCACAGAGCTGGGATGGCAAAAGTAAGTGGCTTCTGTCTTTTTGTCACTTTTTGTTTAGCAGAGAAAACGCTGCGAATGTCTTTGTACCACAGCTGTTAAGACTTTTGAACCAAACACACAAAGTCAGAAGTCGTCGTTTCCTGTTCATTAGTGTTTAGAGGATCACATCTGAAAGTTTGCTCTTAGTGTGAAAACATGAACCTAACAGGAAGTTAGGTTAACTGATTGTGTTCAACGTTGACATATTCAGAGTTTATCATCCTTTTAGTTACTTTAAATAGTCGCTTATAACATTTGTGTTGACGTATAAATGTTCTGAAGAGGCAGATCTAAGAGGAGTCTGAGACTCCTGTGCTGTTATTTAAAGCTAACACGCCTGTAAAGTCACTCATTAAAATAACATAACTTGTGCACTGATTCATAGCCGTACTTCCTGTGTCATCTTTACATACACACAGTGGTATCTGTCTTCACAAAGACAGGAAGATAAATGTATTTTAAATAATAATAATATCAATGATAATATGTAAAAAAGGGTGAGAAATTTAGTGTGATTCACTGTTTTCCTTCTGCTGTTGCCCTGAGTTTCTCTCATCTGTGCTCCTTGCAGGTTATTCCTCCTAAAGGCTGGAAACCCAGAAAGACTTATGATGATATCGATGACCTGGTGATTCCCGCTCCCATCCAGCAGGTGGTTACCGGCCAGTCGGGACTATTCACTCAGTACAACATCCAAAAGAAGCCCATGACTGTCCATGATTTCCGCAAGACCTCCAACATGGACAAGTCAGTTTACTCAATGAAACTTTGCATGAATGGGTTTCAGCGACTGTGACCGCTGCTCAGTCTTCTCTGAATATCTGACAATCTCTCTCTGTAGATTCTGCAGCCCACGATACGTGGATTTTGACGAGCTGGAGAGGAAGTTTTGGAAGAACCTGACCTTTAACCCTCCACTTTACGGTGCTGATGTCAGTGGAACGCTATATGATCCAGTAAGTGGTGATAGGCTGCATACATGGAACTTATATATATCTTTAAAAAAAATACTCACAGATTTGGATTCTGTTTGTGGTAGACAAGTGGGGTTGTTAAAAAATGTCGTTTACACACTCCTCCTGTGCCAGTGTTGTTACCTGAGTGTTTGTGATAAATTGTTGAGCGATAGAATCGGCTGGCTCTCAGAGAACCTCTCTTCCGGCGCATATCTTCAAGTTCAGCGTCTCTGTTCTGTTCTGCAGCCTCGGTGAGCTCAGAGCAAATGAAGCAGCTCTACCTGTTGCAGATTCGGACTAGTCTGGCACTCCAAGATCAGAAAGATTACCGTTCCCAGCTGGGCTCCAACGAATTGTAATCTCTCATGGAAAGAGAGAATCTGTGGAGGAACATGTGGATAAAATTGAGGCAAACTGATGGGAAAATACAACCACATATTATACACTGGAGCTAGCTTGTTACTAGCTGGACTACTAAATTGATAAATTGGGATGCAGTTGTTCTCATAGATAGATTAAAAAAGAGACTTTTATGTTCACAAACTCAAAAATCTTTCCTTCCTTAGTTTTCCTGATC